CTTCGCTCCCCCTGACTCAGGTGGAGAACTATCGGCCAGACTCTCTCCTCCTGTTTCTGTCTAACACCATTGAAAGGGCAGCCTTTGAGCTGAACTCCTCTTACCTCCTAAAAACACATCAATCTGGGTTTAAGAGTGCCCACTCTACTGAAACAACTTTACTGGCTGCGACAGAAGCCTTAAAAGACGCCAGAGCAACAGCCAAGTCATCAGCACTTAGCCTACTCGACTTATGGGCTGCATTTGACAGTCAAACATGACGTCCTTCTGTCTAAGCGTGGGCATCACAGAATGATCGAGCTGGGTCTGTCACACTTCTGCAGCGCACCATCTCACCACAGAGGTCCCCAAATGTTCCGTACTAGGACTTCTTCTCTGCCATATAGACCACCTCTTTGGGCCTGATCATCTGATCGCATTCGATCATTGGCTAAGCTGACGATACCCAGCTCTATCTGTGGTTCCCTCCTGAGGACGACAAGGTCTAAGCATGTGCCTTGAAACCCTTAAAACCCTTCAAGTATACCAGCCATATCAATTCATTCCTGATTTATTTAGTCCCAAAGTACGAGTGATTTAAGGGTACAAACAGTTCACCATCACCAAAAAAGCATACAATTAATAATTCTAGCTATTACATTGCAGGGGTCCTCACTTTAGTTTGTGTGTGAAGGCCAGTAAAATCATACAAACACATTTCATAAAAGTGGTTTGAGAGCAAGCGCACGGGTAAAATAAAAATCCTGTTTAGTTTTTGTATGTGGATGCTAATATTGGCCTCGGTGATGGTGCTGTTCTAATTTGTTACGTGAACAAAGAAAGTAAAGATGGTGATATGGCTTCTGGTAAAGCAATCAAAAACTCTGGGGATTTGATTGAGATGGTGGAATCGGGTTATCTGAATTCATATGTATAACATTATGAAAAAGTAAACATGGTAAAAGAGAAGGTGCTTATTATCGTGGCAGTAATGCAGACTCAGGAAGGCTTAACTTCCCCAGACACATAATTGGGTAGAAATGCCTCAGTGTCACAATACCTTTACATGAACTGAATTTATTCAGCGTACTTCCTTAATCTCGGCAGCAGGGCTACTTAAAAGACATCAGAGTAACTGACTACAGAAGGCAGAAGTGTAATTAAAGACTGGCACTTAATGCACATATGGCACATTCTGCACACAGAGCAGTTCTTCAGTTTAATGGTGTAAGGTGATTTTAAAGAGGCTTGTTTGAACTGAATCCATACATACAGACCATTATATTGGAGGGGTCAAACAATGGCACTTGAAGTAATTCTATTGTTACCTGAAACATAGAAAATAACATATATGCATTTCTTTGTCTACGGAATTATTTGAATCCACTGCAAAGGTTAATTACGTAATGTTTCAGTCTTTTAAAAGTCTGAAATATCAGAGGCAAATCAGTAAAGACTTTATTTGACATTTTATTTTAATTTATTTTCTTTTTATGGCAAAAATCAGGTATTATGGTCTAATACTCCAGTGGCATCTTGCCAGAAGAGGGAGCTAGTTCTTCATTGTCTTTTTCCTCCTCCACATCCGTTATCATGTTCACCTCCAGTTTGAACCTCAGTAAATCACACATTTGCCATGGCGTGTGTAGGGGTTTAGAGTTAGCAATAAAAGTGAAAAACGGCTTCTGTGCCCAATCTATTTTCCTGTGTTCGGCTATTTTAATGGGCTTTCTTTCTCAATAACAATGAGAAACAGAGGTGATAGTGAGCAATAATTTTTGTTTCAAAGCTTTTGTAATTTTACACTCAGCTGATCATTTTCAGAGTGTCCTCCCCCCCAAAATCACTCAATATTTGAATCACTGAAGTAATAAATGAATTCTAAGTCAAGGTATGAATCATTATTGTTTCTACACATGACAGGTTACTTCACGAAGAACCCCTATTATTGGGCAGTATTAAAAAGAAGAAAATAAGTATCCTTATTTTATTTGTGGCTATAAGAAAATCATCCCACACTGTATCATGACACATTTCCAGTACCCATGACTATTTCAATATCATAAATCTCACTGGACTAGTGTAATTATTGGATCTAATTAGTGTTTTATGATTAAAAGTAAGCCAGTACATGATCTTCTTTACCTCTGAAATGGACAGTGATCAGCTCTGTGAATATGTTCCCGGGAGGTATGTTGCCGCAGAGTATTTTCCATCTTACAGTGATTATACAATGTCCCAATTCGTTTCAGATCTCATAAGAACTTTTTATGTCTACGGACTTAAACCTCAGGACCGTGTATGAAATCTAATCCAACTGCTCTTGGCGTTCTTTTCACTCCCTAACACGGTGGCTCTTCTTTTTTTGCTTCTGCTTTTTAGAACAGTTTTAAAAACAGTTTTAAGGTTTATTTGGAACTGTTTGGTGCAGGTCTTTGGAAGTCTATGCAGTTTCAATTCTATAACCTTAAGCAATGTTCATGAGGTTTACTGCAGGTTGTGGCTTTTAGTTGTGATAGTTTTGTAGCTAAGCACAGAAACCGTTTACTAGGCTGTAAATTAGGTATATATCTCATATGATACAGACAATTACACTGTAATATCATAGAAGAAATGTATGTTTTTTGTTTTTTAAGTTGCATTTTTGCCTCCAAACTTTCTGTATTATTACACATTATTGCTTTGTGTGTTGCTGACTTTGTCTTCTTTTCCTGCCGCACGGCTAAATTGCCCCTCTGGGGACAAACACATTTCTACTTAATTTGACATGTGTCTGTGGTTTAAAGTGACAGTTAAAAGGTTGAGTGATGAGCTCCATCTGGATGAGTGACATGTGAGCCAGTATTTCCTTCTCATTGTGCGACCGTCTGTGAGCATGTGTGCATGATACGCACGGTTAAACAGTCCACTAACTACCTAATTAACTGTGTGTTTCCCCAAGTCTGCTCCCACTTCCATTTGTGAAACTTCAAGAGTGTGAAAATCTATTTACTGTATGTTGCTACAAAAAAAAACATTGTTTCTAACAACAAAATTTTTTAGACCTCTGCATGCTGAGATATAATTGAGCCTGTTCTGTTTTCTCGTCGTATATGACCTATTGAATAAATTAATAAATAATAACTTTTCTTTGATCGTCCTTAAAACTGAATGTATGGCTGGAGTTAAGTGTCATATAGATAAAAAAATAGAAAAAAGAAAATGTTAGAAAACAGGATTTAGGAGAATTTCACAGATAGCCCAGCAAAAGTGTGTGTTTACTAAAACAGCTCATTTAGACCTGTAGGTATTCATACCTTGGTATACATTTCAGCCTCTGCTGCAAATAATGCAACAGGCACATCAGAGGGAAAAAAAGAAGAGAAAAAACAGGCCATTCTTCTGGATCCTGAAAACTTGGAATTTGGGACTGAGGCACATTTAAACTCTGGAGACTGAAAGCATAGTGCATGGGGAAAAAATATTATAATATCTACCTATTAATATGCTTTTTATTGGATATGTTTCCACCTGTTCTTCTGGCTAAGAATCCTGAGGGGTTGGAAGATAATTATGCCAAACCGACGTGATATGATTGGAACTGGGCAATCACACGGTAGATAAAAGAACAGAAAAAGAGAAATCCAACCCTGTGGGCATCAGGACATTAATGACTACTGAGGTCACCTAGAACCTCATACCTCTCTAATATAATGTATTCTACCTGGACACGAATGCACTAATCAGACGACGGTCCCATCAGTTGATGAGCTCGTCAGTCTGAACTCTTAATGGAGTTGACCCAGAAAAGAAATTCTTCAACAGAGGAGGCTTTTATCATTAAATGTGGATGAACAAAGTTTAGATTACGGTACGGTAATATCCATCTCTTCACTGTCCCTGAGAGATACCCTTTATTCTTTAAGAGTTTCACTTTCTTTCTTTCTTTCTTTCTTTCTTTCTTGCTTTCTTACGTAATCTGCGACAGAGCTACCTGGCATGGCGTGGCAATGATTTACAACTATTTGAATGGTCCTTAAACTATAAGAAATCAAATGGTTTATGAAACTTTGTTTTGACATGGACAGTATTTTTTCACTTAAAATGGAAAACAAAAACATCCATTCCATCCATTGTATGCTTGTTCATCTTTTTCTTATCTGTTTTTTTTTTCGGTAAAACAAGCCACAGGCAAAACAACAACTCATTCAGTTGAGTTCAGATTATATTGTTATTAAATTACACCCAGTTACCAACGAGACAGATTCAATAACGTTCATTCCTATGGGCAATTCAAAGTGATCGTTTCATCTAAAATGTGTAATTTTGGACTGTGGGAGGAACCAGGAGTAGCTTGAGAGAACCCATGTGTACACAGGCAACACACAGAAAGGCTCCTGGATGGGGGTGAACCAGAGCCCGAGAAGGTAGACGATAACCTCCATTCCACCATTTTCCATCATGTGATTTGAAATGAAAGCATATAAATCAAACACGGCCATCTTGTTTTTATTGGATCCCAACAATTAACTGGCGGAAAGAATTGTGTAGCTTCTTATTATTTTTGACGAGGGTAATTTGTCAGGTTGATATTATGATTAGTGTACTATTAAAATAATAAGCATATTTGCAAAGGCAAACAATCAGTCGGACGTAATTACATACGTGACCCCTTCGGCTGCCAAAATAGCTTTCTTGCGAGCAAAAAAAAAAAAAAAAACAAAAAAAAACAAAAGAAAGGACACACACTGCCACAGTGTGAGCGAGCATCTGCTGTGGTGAATGCATGCCTACTTTACGAGCGCTGATTGGTGGCCAGAAGCAATTAACATATTCCCAGAGCGGCATGCCGAGCGTTACAAAGGGACGGAAAAGGGAGAACTTGCGGGCAGTTGCCAAGACCGCAGAAGGAGGCGGCTTTAACCTGAGGCCCGGCACAACACAGCCAGTGGACAAAATCCACAGATCGCACCGTGCGCCGAAGCAGACAGAGAGGTAGAGGGGGTGAAAAAAGGAAGATGAGACAAAGGGAGCGTCCCCAGATGGCAGGGCATACGGTTCGATGTGTGGACGACAAGTCTGGCAAGCTGATGTGTCTCAAAAGCAATAAAGGAACAATGGTTTGCGTGCGTGAGTGTGTGTGTCCTGAAAACGCGTCTAATTGTTTGTGTCGTATTTGATTATGGACTTAAAGCGCATTTATGTATTTATTTTGCTATATGGTAATCAAAATACGCTTTGTCTCAATTAATCTTCTTGATGAAGTCATCTGGTGGGCTGTTACACTTTCAAACAACGGCGTAAAGACCGGCTCCAGCCAGCCGCTGGAATCCTCCCCGTCTGCCTCTTTCCACAGCATCTGGTCCTTAAAAATGGACGTGGTGAATTTGGAAAGCTCTCAAAAGCGTTCCTTCTAGAACATGATGTCACAGTGTTGTGATTCTGTGCGTTGAGGCCAGTTTGCAGTTTCGCCGCCAAACTGGATCGATGGTACGGATTACAGTCTGTCACTCGTGATGGACAAAACCTTCATGGAAGGCCATGGATACACGTTCAGGAGCACACTTGGACAGGGCACGTTCGGCAAAGTTGTGAAAGCACACTCCACTCACCTGAGGAAACTTGTCGCCATAAAGATTGTCGATACTAAGAAAGTCAACCCTGGCTACAAAGAGAAGTTTCTGTCCCGTGAGAAAGAGATCATTAGATCTTTGAAACACCCCAACGTTGTCAGAACTCATGAAATCTTTGAATCAAGCACAGGCTCGGTAAGAATGTAATACATTTAATTTTCAGTGCAAAAATGTTCTGTAAATTGTTGTTTATTCTATTTTTTGTCTTTAGAATGACAAAACGGTCTTCTTTTTCACATTTTATGAATTAGGCATACATAGATAAAAGCCTTACACAGCATCTGTAACATAGCCTACATGAGTTGGTTTAGCATACTAAATTTTTAAATATGTATTTCAAGGCATACAAATGATGGATTTAGATTAGGAAAACACTTTTAAGAAAAAGGATAGTGGCATGTTTTTTATGAAGATTAGCAAACACCAATTAAATGCATCAAGGTCCATCTACTAGCCTTTTTCCAAAACATGTTTGAGAACTAAAGTCATCTAGCATTAGTAATGACAGTAACCCTTGTTCACTGAGAGCAAAAAGTGAGCAGAAGAAGACAATCAAGTTAAAAGGATATGTAAAGAAAATGTGACACAGGAACTTATTTCTAATTTCTTTGTGGACGTTGCTTCTTCTTAATCAAAAGTAACTCAAGTCTCCAAATATAAACTGAAATAATATCACTTCCAGAGTAGAAACTCTACATAATTAGCGAGTGGTATTTTAAACCCAAATTTGTCACTTACAAGATCCTAGATGATTAATTTAGTACCTACTTGGTTGAAAGCTCATCAGTAGTACTAATACTGAGTCAGAACCAGAATAACTGACTGCCTGAAGCATTCTATCTTCGAGATCTTTACAGTTCATTCTTAAATTTCTAGGTCTATGTGGTGATGGAGCTTTGTTTGAAAGGAGACATCTCAAAGCTCATCTCGGTCAGGGGGATGCTGCCTGAAAACTTGAGCTGCAGATTTTTCAAGCAGCTGTGCCTGGCGGTGCAGTACCTCCACGACATGGACGTGGCTCACAGAGACCTGAAGTGCGACAACCTGCTCCTAGACAAGCATCTGAACCTCAAGGTGTGCGACTTCGGCCTCAGCAAACGGCTGACCTACACCGACGGTCAGATGCAGCTGAGCGAGACCTACTGCGGCACCTCATCCTACGCGGCGCCCGAGATCCTGAAAAACTGCCCGTACAACCCCAAAGTTTCCGACGTGTGGAGCATGGGCGTGGTTCTGTACACCATGCTCTACGCCTCGGCCCCCTTCAGCAGCACCAACATCACCAAAATGGTCAAGATTCAAATGGGGCACAAGATTCACTTCCCGAGAATTCCCTTCATTTCCCCCGAAGCCAAATCCCTCATCGGCCACATGCTGCACCCCGTCGTGGAGCAGAGGATCAAAATTAGCGACATATTGACAAGCTCGTGGATACTGACCGTGACAAGAGTAGAACACAGCGAGGAAGCGTCCACATCCGCGGCCGGCTCTGCGCAGGGAGGCCCTCCGGACAGAAAGGACACGGTCGATGAGAAAGTGAGCTTAGATGCAGAGGAAGGACCTTCAGAATCAAAATGAAAATCCAAAGCTTGTAAGAAAATGAATAAACACTATGGCTTAAAAGAGCGTTATATAGGTTCTAACAACCTTCCATGTTAGACTTTTTTTTTCTTTTTTTTTTGCTGCTGACTTGCAGTACACACTGCCAGAAAAAAAAAAGAATGACTTCATCCTTTATATTTGGATGCTTCTGCGATTTTTCTTTTACCTTTAAACACAGAAAAATGCGAGTTTCAGCATTTAAAATTACAACATAGTCAGCCTTTTGGATTTTTTTTTTTAACATTTACAGCTGTTTTCCATGATGTTGCACTTTCCTTGGCGTAGTTCTTTCTTCCGCTGAGAGCAAGTAAAGAGGCCTACATTATCATCTGAATCTCACAACAGGGTGGCTATGTTTGACAAAAAAAAAATGTCGGTATCTTCTCAACAGTGAAACGCTGTCCTTGCAGGAACAGCTCTATTAGTGTTAAACTTCATTATCATCGGACAGCTTTGCTCTCCAACAGAAGTTGAGGTCATGAGCAGGTTGTGTCTGCTCTGGCTTATATCACCTGCTCAGTGAGAGCTATCTGCCTTGTAACAACCAATTCCAATGTAAGTTAGAAAGCACAATCATTTTTCTGAAAGAGACTCAGCTCCCTAAACAACTGGCTACAGTCTGAATGATGAGCCATTAAACACCTCTCTTACATTGTGCAATGTAGACCACTTCAAATCAACTTTTTGTTAACAATGGAAATACAATACATGCTAATGTGTTGAACCATCCATTAATAGCTCGCAGAACATTGCTTTCAAAACGGTCAGAATACTGTTTAAAATGTGAAGAGAGCTGTAGGGTGTGAAAACAACATTTAGAAAGAATGACATTTTTCAAGTGATGTCTCAACCTTTCTGTCTTTTCAAACACTTTAAGGTTTGCAAACAAGCAAGTCTACTTAATAGACTTTTATGAAACAGATTTATTCATCTTTATGCAGCTTTGTCTTGCTAAAATATGGAAGTTAATCTTAAAACAAATGCTGTCTGGATGACAGTGTTCATATATATGCCTTCCAGATTTGAATACAAAACATAAACACTTTGAAATGTATTGACTTTTGTAGAATTAAATAAACTTCCTTAATGTATGTCTGTGTTCTTGTCATTAACCTGCAGAGGGCAATGAAACACAACACTTTTTTAACTTAACACAATGATTCTTACACATCAAGATGTAGTTATGTCTTTTTGATAGCATGCATGAATGAGATTAACGTGTGTTAAAAGAATAAACAAACAAACACACACTTTGTAATCCCCTTGGCAACAATCTAACTGCTGTAACTGCCAAGAGCAATTCCAGCAATAATTCACTTCTTCATACCTTTTGTCGGTACCGCCATGATCCAACCCACCTTTTTCTTGATCTTTCTCAGAGTTTTTTTTTGTTGCTTTTTGTCTGGCCTGCTGTTGTGTAACAACAGAAAACTTTATTGATTTGACTCTTATTTCAGACACTGATGAATAATGGATCAGGTCTCATCCGCCAGGCTCCTGGGTTTGCAAGATTTGCAACAGATTTCAAGCCTTACAGAGTATATATTTTATCTTTCAGTGTTACACAGGGCTTGCACAAGTTAATGTTAACAAGTCCCATGTTATTCAGTATCCATAACATGATATTCATGTTATTTATGAAGAGCAAGGAGCAAATCTTTGTAAGGTGAAACGTTCAGCAAGTTCTGCTAGAAGATTCTTTTGTTTGGAGATGTGGGGACAGTGCAATTGGTGTGTCAAATGGTTGTTTTGGTGATAGTAGTGCTTTTAAACCAAATGGTTTCCATGGGTCGTGCATACTAATTCTGCCATTGTCGCTTATCTGAGGTGGGCAACAAGCAAACTACCAAGATATGATCTCAGGAAACAGACAGATAAAGTACATTTTATAACAAATGTGTGCAAATACATTTTATCAGTAGCTTCCAAAAAGTGATTAGTCATTTGATACCTTCCCTAATACATTCATACCAATTCCAATTAGCATATTAGTACAGTTAATTTGTTCTTTTGTTTATTTTTCAAATTCGGCATGCTATCTACATCACGTTACGGTACACAACTGAGAGGTGCAGAAGCTGCCTTCATGAATGTAAAAGCAGAAACATTTTCAGAGCAAAGGTCAAGTGGTGTCAAATAGGCCAAGAGGTGGTATAACCGCAGTCAATTATTGATTAGTCCAATCTATTGGTATGGATACAGACACCCCAGGCCATCAGAGGACCTGACACATAAATATCTGACATTTTAAGCTGTTCCCAGATAGAAAATACGTGTTAACTCACCTAACGTCTTTCCGTTTATCCCTCGGTGAGCGTCTTTCTGCATTTCTTCTCGAAAAACAAATCTCCTGCAGATTTAGAGCATGTCATTGACACACACCAGCATAATAATCGAGCATTTGTGTTGTCTACACTGAAATCATGTGATACATAACACTCTCCCTAAAGAAAATTCATTCATTTAAAAAATCTAAGGTTTGAGAGTGATTTATAATCTACTGATATTCTTAGCAGCTGTTCTTGCCCAGCGATCTAAAACTAAAGCTAATATTCCTTATCAAATCCCAGATGGTTTCCCACCTGTTCCTGTGGGCATCACAGAATTTATTAAAAAAATCAGCATGGCGTGTTTCAAAGGAAGCTTCCTTTTTTTACCGTGTGGCAAAAAAAGATTTGATGATATTTGGATTATTGAACGCAGGGCCAAAGGGCATCCAAATCCTGAATACATTGAGACGGGCGTGGGTGTAAAGACATTGCCACGGCGAGAAAATCAGGCGTGCAATGCCAAATCGAGCAGCTGTAAAAGGTTTGACGTTGAGGAATCCTGAGGAAAAACAGAATGTGAACAAACATGTTGGGCAGGGGGGGTTTGTCAGTGCACTTGTATGTTCTTTCTCATAAGACATCTTCATAGGACATCTGGCATCCATGCCCTACCCCTCCAACCCACCCCCCACCCCCTTCCCCCGCTTGCCCTTTATTCCAACACACATTTTCTCTCACACACACTCAAACACCCGCACAGACATGCACAAAGACCTGAATAATGAGGTGTCATGTCTCTCTCACACCCTGGGACCTCTATTCATGCCTCATCCATTCACGTCATCTTCCAAATCCATCTCTTGTGCTCCAACCCTCCTGTGTGACACACTCTGTCTTCCCCTTCCTCTCACAAACACACACACACACACACAGACAGAAGCTTGCCCATACCGTTACATGATAAAGTGTGTGTACAAACCCACACACAGCATTGGGATGGAGGTCAGGTCATGGTGTTGAGGGATGAGGCTTCCATTGAGAATAATTACAGTTCAGGATTCGCTGCTTCCTGTCCCCTTGAGTATAAAGCGTTCCCATTGGTCAGGCGGGCTCACGTCTGGCCTACCAGCTGCCACGATTGTCTTGGGTGGTAAGAGTGATTATTATAAATAATGGGGACATTCTCTATCACGCGAGATAATTTGACAGCAGAGTCTTGAGTCTTGTTGCTTTGTCACAGAAAGCTGCCATTGTTAAGGAGCCCATTATTTATGTTTGTCATTTGTCTTGCAGTTGTGTGAAAATGAGCAAACGCCGAGGTGAAATTAGAGAACACCCATCGCTGCTTGCTGTTGTGTTGTTGTGTTGTTGCTCAGAAGTAAAAGTGCTTATTCTGAACTAAAAAAATGCAGAGATCAGTGTCAGGAAATGCATTTCGGGGCTTTTGTGGCACTTGGAGAGGATGATTGCAAATACGTTATCTTACAGTAATGAGAACTAAAGCTTGAACTAATCCATGCATACAAAAATTGTTTGATGCTGTCGCTTTATGGTGGCAACACAAATTCTATGAAATTAAGAATAAACTATCAAAGCTGACTTACATGAATATAGTTTTAAATGTGTATAATCATAAAACAGAAAACACTCGTTGATGAAAACAGGGAAATTTACAATTATTTGCTTTAAAAAAATCTACTTACTATTCAAACAAGATGAGAGATAAATTCTTGATATTCATTTTGCAGAGTTGGCCTTTTTAAATATGAATTTGTATATAAGCACCGATGATCTACATCATTAAAGGGATGAATTGACATCGAAATCCATGAAACACACCTGCTGTGAATCACTTCTCACAGCTGCTGTCATTGTTTAAATATTCAGACTTTACTCAATAAAAAATTCACAAAGAAGGCACAAATAATAATTCCATATGTCAACACTCAGTGCGAAGGCTGTGAAAGATCTGTTTTCTTCAATCAAAGAAAGAAGACGTTTACATTTTCTTTGGCAAATGAAACTCTTCCTTTAAAAATCAAAGAAAATCAGCTCTTGATCAAATCAAATCAATGTGTAATCTCACCTACATTTTTGTATTCACCCATTTCTTAATGTTTCTATGGGACTGGACGAGTCGCACAAGTGGAGACAAACAAAGAAGGAACGGTGCAAAAGTGGAGGGAAAAAAAAAAAAAGAGGAAGACGGTGGCAAGTGCATCCGCGGGATGGACTGGAGCCCGACGATCTATTCAGCCGGCTTGTAAATAGTGTGAAGTATAATGCTATTAGCTGTGATTATATTAGGCAGCTATTTCGGGGGAGAATCTGAACCCAGCTGCTACCACAGATGTGAGAAGAGAGGAGCGGAGAGGAGAGGAGAAATCTATCCTGCTTCCCAACCATGAAACTAAAGATTTCTTAAAAGCAGATATACCAAATACTGTATATATATATAAACATATTTAATTTCATAGAAGGAAGACCCTGTTCTCTATGAGAGCATGCATTGGTATACGTTGGTATTCCTGATGATTGTATGATTGTCTGTGCGTGGTCTTTATATACATGCATCTTCCCGTTATGGCGTCAGCTTCCCTGTTTTCATGCTAGCTTGCAGGTCCCGGCTTTGTGCATGCATGCGAGTGAGTCTGCGTTGAAGCACTCTCAGCACATCGACAACCCTCTCCGTCACCGTGTTGAGGT